GAAAACGTGAGGATGCCCCTTTCAAGCAAGAGCAGCCAGGGGTCCCAGCCAAATGCCAAGTCCCACCACGTGCCGGATGGTACCCAGAGACCCCCGCTCCAGCCAGGCTGCGCTCAGCATCCAGCATCCCAACTGGCTGCCCACTCCGTAAAGGAGCTCACCCAGACACTGGAGTGTTTCTCAGCACAAATACAGCTCAGAGCCTACACTAAATGCGAGCCCTTGGGTTGCCAAGGGGGAGAAGTCAGAGGCCAAATGCCACTGCAAGGGAGGAAGAGGAAGGGCAGGACAGAAAAAAAAAAAACCAACCTTAAAAAAAAAATCCAAAATGAGAACGTCTCGGTCCCTTAGTCTCGCTCTCCATTTCTATTCCCTGCTTTTCTCAAATTTCTAACCAATTCTTTCTTCCCATCGCAACGGACCTGTAGCTCCTCACACAGATTACTTACAGGGACTTTATTGCCCCTTGTCCTTGGCACCGACAGCATTCGGCCGCGCTCTGCGTCCCCCGCCTGGGCTGAGGTCTCACGTGCCGTGTATTTTACACAAACCCCCCAGGAGCAGGGAGGCTCGGGCATTACCGCACCCCCAGCCACCGTCCTGAGCACAACCCAGCCCAAACCCAGATCTGCCAAACTACATGCTATCTAGCATCAGACCTTCTCCTTTCTGGAGCCTGCAGATAAGAAGATGATTTAACATACAAATGTTTCAAATTAAATTTCCAAACTTTCCTTTTTTAATTTTTTTTTTTTTTGTTTGGAGCTGCAGTTGATACAAATGCAGTGAAAACAAGGGCACAAGCCAGGAAAATAACACAACTGGCCATTTTCTCAGACTTTTGCATCTACACAACCCATTGTTGCTAACTTTGGCTATTTTAAAAGCAATAAAAAAAGCTTTAGAAGCAAAGCCTGGCAGCGGTCTGGAAGCCACAAGTAACTAGAACTATTCGATGGTATGTGAAAATCTCAGCTTCTTCTTAAGAGCAAAGTTAACCGGTCTGCTTGTTTAGACAAGATTTCCTACTCCAGTTTCCATACGTCCCCATTGTGTGGATTGTCCCAAAGTCCCTGGCCAGTGCAGCACATCGCCCTGGGGAAACTGAGGCAGGGAGATGGGAAAGTCACTTGCCCAGCACCCCTCACCTGGGATCTGCCACAAACCTGGGACCTGCTCTGGGGCTTCAGGAGAAAAGTTCTCAGAAGTCACCAGTGAGGAATCAAAAGGCAGATGGGACCTTTTAAAGCTCTTGCCCCCACCAAGCTCGTTTTTTTTTTTTAAGTGAATTTTAAAGTATTGATTTTCTGAGCACTAAGAACTTCGCTGAGTTATTTTTCTCCAGGTGGCATGAGGGGCCGGGCTGAGGTTTGGGACAAGCACACGTATAAATCACCTCTTCGAAACAGCATCTCCCAGAGTAAGAAGCCTGCGTGTTAGAACAAACTTACGAGCATTTACGTGCACTTCTCATCTCAGAGCATGTGAAAAATCCCAGTTAATCCATCAGGACTTGCTGGGATTTTAAAATCAAGCATCTGTGCAAACGTACACTGGATCAATGCCTAAACAATAACAAAAAAAATGTCCTCAATATTAACCTTTGATCACCAGCCAAATCTCATACCTCGTCCTCCCAAAACAAACAGGAACGGATGGCAGCATGGCGTGACAATGATATGGGGACAAACAGAAGAAATCCAAACAGAGGCGGTGGGGACAGCCCTGGTAAGAGTGCAGGGGAAAAACTGGGGTTTGTCCCATCCTGATTTGCCAGGAGATGGGAAGGTTTCCTAGCGCAAGCCGCTTGTTGTCCGAGGTATATGGGGGGGAGTGTCAGAGGTAGATCACCTATGGTAGCACCCCTCCATACGCGGCGTGTGGGGTCCTATGCCTTGGCACTCCAAGCACAAACCTATAGCACAGGCCCACCTCCAGCAGGCATGGTCGTACACCTGCGCCGTGCACGCACGCACCTCTGGCACGGGCGCATCGCCAGTGTGCACAGGCACAAAGCTGCGGCTGGCACACGCACACCTGTGGCACGCAGGGCTCACCTTCACCGTCCGCAGGCGCGTGCCTGTGCCATGCACACACACACACGGGGCACCCGTGGTGCACAGCTATGGCGTGGAGGCACACGTGTCGGGCACCCATGGGCATGCGCCTATGGTGTGAACTTACCTCAGGCACGCGTGCACGCACCCATGGCATGGGCGCAGCCATGGCAGGCACAGACCCACAGCATGGGTGCATCCGTGGCATGGGCACACCTACAACATGCGCACACCCGTGCCGTGCACACACCCATAGCATGCGCTTACCTATAGCATGGGCATGCCATGGGCACAGCCGGGGCACAAATACCCATGCCATGGGCACAACCAGGGCATATGCACACCCACGCCGTGCACACACCCATAGCATATGCTTACCTATAGCATGGGCACGCTCGTGCCATGGGCACAGCC